TACTTGGCTTTATGATGTGGACTCTGGGGATTTAACCCAGGTCCTCACATTTGCACAGTAGGTACCTATTGTCCCCAGTCCTCCAAATACATTTACATATAGTTTTTTTTTTTCTGATGTTTTAAAAATGTCGCCATGTAAAGGATATATGAGAGGTTCCTGTTAATGAAAAATAATTTATTAATAATAATAATCCGATTCCACCGGAATGAGGTAGGAACAGCCTGGGCTACATAGTGAATTAGAGGCCAGCTTGGTACACCCAGCAAGACCTGCCTTTGAAAAGAAATATAAAACAGTGACGGCACAACAGAAGATCCAACTCCCCCAAACATAGCAGGTAACAGAACATTTGCTATAGGGCTTTGCATTGCTCAAATTCCTTCCCTGGGGGAAACGTAAACAATGGCTACCCCATTCCCAAGGTCCCTGAGATGAACCCAGACACAGTCTACCTACCAGAGTTTTCTCTGGGGAGGCGGTGAGTTTATTGGGCTGACTTACAGAGCTGTGGGGGAGGGGCGACAGCCAGGAGCCTGGGCAGCCTTAAGGCAGGGCCACCGGAAGGCCTGCACTCAGCATGGATGATGACTGCATAGATGCGGCCCTTTCCTAGTCCTTCCCCATGTATGTATGTATGTATGTATGTATGTATGTATATATGTATGTATACTTCTAGCTCTTCCTTGAGGATGTGTGCCATTAGAACAGAACTGCTTACAGGTGGTGGGGAGGAGCAGTTAGATGCCTAGGCCAAGGGTCCTATGACCCCTTTAAGTCAATAAGCCTAGTTGTGCTGATCGTTTTAAGCAGGCACAGCCGACCTCATGAGGATAGTGGTGGCACTTTGCCTGGGAGAAATAATCTTGTATGACACCTCCCCCGTAAAAAAATAAAATTCCATTTTCTTCGAGGAATACCAACTTGTTTATAACCTCAAAGCTATTTTTCCATCATGCTGTAGCTTTAAAACTTGAAGAGATTAGAGTTTATTTTCTCAACCCAGGAACAGATACACACACACACACACACACACACACACACACACACACATGAAACTTTGGAGTTTCGAATCTGAGAAATGTCGCGCAAAGACCCCCAAACTGACTCTGAGTCAACAATGCAGTAGCTGCAGGGAAGGCAAAGCGCCAGACCTGTGTCCAGGATGCTGAGAACTCCACCTGCCTCTGATCTTCCAGGTGGTCTAGAGGGAGCTTACAGGAGGAAACTAACACCTGGAGCCAGGAGCCCCTGCAGGTGCAAGGTGACACACAGGTAGGGATATAGGGTTCAGGGCAGGTGGCACCCAAGGCAACGAAGGCTGCAAATGTCTTTGTCCAGTGCCCAGATAATCACTCCTCTTCCCTTCTCAACGGATTCCCGGCTGTTCTGGGTGGGGAGGAACTTCTGTGTTTAAGAAGCCAGCTGCCCCTCGCCTTCCTTTCTGAGAAAATCCAAGAGGCTCAGCAAGTAAACACAATAAATCTCCTGGCGTAAGAACAGAGACACAGCCAATTTGGTGTCTCATTATCCATGCTATGGGATATGTGTGTGAGGGCTATGATGGTAGAGAACACAGAAAAGGGAAATTTCAGATCTATCAAAACCCTTAACGAGTAGCAGGTTAGCTTGAAACTCAATTCCTAATTGAGTTTCTCTGCGAATTCCTAATTCTGTAATTAGCAGATAGGAACAAAGACTAGAAAAGAAAATGCTGTGGAGAAGTCCTCCTTGCTGGATGCACTACTCTGAAAGAACTCTCTGCCCCTAGTGGACCTGGTTCTAGGACCCAGCTTTCCAAGGCTTCTGACGGGTCTCAGTAGTCACACTTGAGGAACCAGGATGCGCTTTTGGTGATAAATGCAGAGGAAAATGGTCCTTCAGTTGGATATTACATGATGCTGATTAGCATGGAGAATGCTTAGGGACTATTGTGTAAACAGGAGGCTTCAGGAGAGAGCAGCCAGCCTTCTGGGTTTCCCTCCACTCACTGCACTGCATTAGGAAATATTGCACGTTTGAGACCCATCTGTCCTAATCTTTCTCACGATTTGTAAAAAAAAAAATCATTATTTTTACACTTGTGTTTTGCCTCCATGCCATGTATGTCTGTGTGAGGCTGTTAGACCCCCTAGAGTTTCAGATGGTTGTGAACTGCCATGTGGATGCTGGGATTTGAACTTTGGAGGAGCAGCCAGTGCTCTTAACCACTGAGCCACCCCTCTCACTCATGTTTTTAGTGTGTGTGTGTGTGTGTGTGTGTGTGTAAGTGAGAAAACCCAGGTGTTGAACCAGGTCATCAGGCTTGGTGGCTCATGCCTTTACCTACTGAGTCATCTCCCTGGTCCCACTTCTCAAGCCCCCCCCCCCCCATTTATTCATTCATTCATTCATTTATTTAAACACTTTACAGCCTGATCCCACCCTCCTCCTTCCTCTCCCCCCTCTCCACTTCCCCTTCTTCTCAGAGAAGGGGAGGCCTGTAAGGGGGTACCAACCCACTCTAGCACTTCAAGTCTCAGGACTAAGTGCATTCTCTCCCACTAAGGCCAGACAAAGCAGTCCAGCTAGGGGAGGGGAATCCAGAAGCAGACAACAGAGTCAGAGGCAGCCCCTACTCCCATTGTTAGGGGACTCACATAATGGCCACACTGCACATCTGCTACATATGTGTAGGAGGCCTAGGTCCAGCCCACGCATGCTCTTTGGTTGGTGACTCAGTCTCTGTGAGGCCTTGTGGTCCCAGGTTAGTTGACTCTGTAGATCTTCGTGTGTCCCTGATCCCTCTGGCTCCCTCTGTCCTTCCTCCCACTCTTCCACAAAACTCCCTGAACTCCACCTATTGTCTGGCTGTGAGTCTCTGCATCTGTTTCCATCAACTGCTGTACGAAGTCTCTCAGAAGACAGTTAGTGTCATTAACAGTGTCAGGGCTTGGCTCTCTCCCGTGGGGTGGGTCTCAAGTTAGGCCAGTCCTTGGTTTGCCACTCCCTCAGTCTCTGCTCCATCTTTACCCCTGCACATCTTGTAGGCAGCACAAATTTTGGGTCAAAGGTGTTATGGGTGGGTTGGTGTCGCCCTCCCTCCACTCGATGCGTGTATCTGGTCACTTTCCACAGTTATTTTTCGGTGACTCCATTTTCACAGTTTCCATCTCCAGCTACCAAGGAGCCCTGCTAGGCAGGACGACAGAAGTGAGACCCTTATGGCAAGTGATATCCTCCCTGCCTGTATGCTCAAAACATTCCCAGTAAAGGTATCCAGACGTGATGGCATGGCCTCAGCTGTCGTTACTTAGGAGACTGAGGCAGGAGGATGCTTGAGCCAAGACCCCCTCCACTCCATCTTTTTTAAAAAAGAGAAAGAAAAACAACAAAAGTCAGCCTGGTATATTTAGATGAGTTCAAAATGTTTTTCTAATCTTCAGAGTCTCAAGGGAAAATCAAAACACTTTGCTTAAACACATGGGCTAGTCAGGCTAGCCTGTGGTATGTGCTTATAATACCAGCACACGGGAGGCTGAGGCAAGAGGATCGGAACCAAGGGCAGCCTGGGCTACAAGAGACATTGTCTCGAAAAAGCAGAAAACAAACGAACTCAAAACACAGCAGTGAGTGAGCAATTGCAAGGCCTGCACGCAGCATTCTGGGAATTCCAGTGAAACAGCCATGCCTACGTATGGAGGCCTTCCCCTTCTTTACAGGTTGAGTTTGAACTGTTCTTTGCGGGATGCCAGCAACCTTACCGAGAAGGCAGCAAATGCGGGTTTCCAAGCTGAAGGAATCTAGGACAAAGACAGCGAGTGGGTAGGGCCGTGAAACCCTCCCTCCCCGTGGGTGTGGCGCTACCTCCCGCAGGGTTCACAGCAGGGAGAAGCAAGCCGAAGGCTGGACTTGAATTCCTGCTTGAGCCCTCCCGGCCTGGACTTTGCAACAAGAGCAAGAGGCTGAGCTTTGCCTGGACTTTGCAACAAGAGCAAGAGGCTGAGCTTTTACCCTGCCCTCCAACCCTCTTCCAACCTGACTCCCCTCCGCGCCCCCCCACCCCCACTACTATGACAGTGTAAGCGAGTTCAGCAGATCAGGTACATGTGAACAAAGGCTAGAGGGATGTGAAGAACAAGTCCTGATGCGAGCCAGCCTGGATTGTGTTCTGACCACTGAGCGGCCAGTCCATGCCAGGGCTGTGCGCAACCACACTGAAGTAGCCGACAAGAATGTGGAGGAACGAACAGAGCTGGTTTCTTGGGAAGGCCGGTATCATCACTCCTGGCCTGAACCAAGCCTATCTTGTTTTCTCGGCCTAAAGGGATTCCCCGCCTGCCTCCTCTCCAAATATTTGAGAACACTTAAGTTTTTTAATTCTGGGACTTCGGAGTGTTATTTTACATTGGTGTGTCCTCGTTCCTGATACATACACCTTTCTTCCTCTTCCCTACAAACTTTCTCTGCTGTAATTTGGCTTTGAAAGACACCTTGGGAACAAGTAAAGATAAAAGGCAGCCAAGAACAAATACTTGAGATTTTTTAGCTTGGGGGGGGGGGCGACATCCTGTCCCACTCACCTTTATAAACCTCACAGCACTGTGCCAAATATTTGTTTTGAATAAGCTGATCCAGTCGTGATACTATGGTAAATCCACTGGCTCTCCAAAGAAGCTGTTTACTGGTTTATTTGCCTAGATATCTATTTTGTAAACTTAAATTTTCTTCCCTTGCCTCCAGTCATTTTCTCATATTTTCTGATTTGATTTGAAAAGGCCATGTAATTAGAAAATTATTCTGACTTTTTGGTTTAAAAAAAAATGATAGGAGCTGGGGGCACTTGAATAAGACACATGAGGTCCCAAGTTCTAGCCCCAGAGATATGGAGAAAGAGATGGACAAGAGGAGATTGATTTCAGCAACAGTATAAAGTTAGGCTACAAAGAAACAAAAAGATTTGACAGTCATGGAGCTCATTATGTAAGAACATTAGCAATAATCAGCTGGGTACAATACAATAACTTACAACAATCTGCTGGTCTTTTAATGCAGGAAAATAACCAGAAGAAACACAAGAACTCTTTAAAAATACAGTATCACACATGAAAATATTTCCATAAAAAAACTAATCTCTGCTTGAACATTGAACTTTTCAGCCCTCTTTGGATTTACATTCAGTGATTCGCACATTCTACTGGGGTTTGCAGAGTCGGCATTCTCTGATTTCAGCCAGGGACCGGTGTCTCCGGAGAACCGAATGGGACACTTCCTGTCAGACATTCAGTACTTCAAGGCTAATATTTAATCTTAATTGGCAAAAAGTTTAGTGCAAATAAAGTTATACTTAGCAGCTTGACACAGTTCTGATGCTTTGAACCCCTGTGGCTTCCCCAGCGCGAACCCAGCGCTCTCTTTCCCTGAGTTCCAATGATGACCTTCAAACCTACGGAAAGCTCTCAGAGATGAGCCTGTTTGCTACACAGGGAGCTAGTTCCCCTGCAGGGTGAAGAGTGTCAGTCACTACACAAATGACCCAAAAGGCTTTTATGCTTGGGAAGCACACATTGGATTGGTGCAGAACCAGAACAAATCACAAACACAAAATAAGACACAGCCCGGCTGGTGTCCTTTCTCTAGGGAGGGGGGGTCAAGGTCATACCTGAACCTCATTCACCCACTTCTCTGATCAAGGGCAAAGACACCCAGAGAAGACAGTTGACATCAGTTTACACCAAGCAACCGCAGAGGCTTGCCCACAGGACTGACGAAATCTCTTCAGTCAAGCTACACTCTCCAGTAACAATTTTATCTCACTGGTTGGAATTGCCAAAAGGCACATAAAGGGAACGAAAGGAAGCCATCTGACTTCAAACCTGGTGCTTTCTGCTCAGCCAAGATTTATTCCAGAGATGAATAGAAGCCAGAGAGCTTCCAGCCAGAGAAGAGCGTGAGCTATGTCAGTTCCACCAGCTGTCTCTCTTTGACTGATGCATCCATTCCTTTTCTAGTAAGGCCTGGCACTACCTCAGAAAACCCTGTGCCTTCCTGTGACCAGACCCCTTCCTGGCTCAGGAGAGAGAGGGACCCTCCCCAGGCTTGACTGCCTGGCTCTAATTTTGTCTACATTTCAAACACATGAGGCTTCAAGAAGGTGAGATGACCCTTGGGTACACCATTTCACTGGTTCTGGATCTTTACCAAATTCTAACAGTTTCTGTTTCCCTTTGGGTTCTCTCATCTACATAGTAGCTTGGGGAGGGGCCCCACAGCCTTCTGCAGAGAGAAGCCCATTTCAGTCACTATACTCATCTCTCTCCCTTGGGGTGTGGAATTTCTCATGTTGGCTGGCCGACTTCCATTTGTTGTGTTGAGTTTTGAGCAAAGCAGCCAGGGAAGTCTTCCGGGTGACATTTCTAGACATTTCCCGGCTCTTGACCTTCCTGGCTGGGGAAGGGCTTTGGACTAAGGAATATACGGGGAAGATGGGTTTGCCCCGGGGTGCACCCAGGAGCTGCCATGTTTCCCCAGAGGCTTTGCTGTTCAGATACTGCCATGGCTTCTTGCCACTGAAGTCCCGAACATTCACCCTAGAAGCCAACCTTTGCACTAGCAATTTGATGACTCCCTGGTGGCCATGAATAGCCGCAAGGTGCAGTGGGGTATAGCCACAAGTGGACCTCACGTTCACGTCTAGTGCAATCCCCGCCTTCTGGGCTCCAGAGACCAAGTCCTGAAGGGCACTCAGGTTGCCATGCTTTGCCATCCAGTGCAAGGCCGTGTAGCCGGTCAGGAAGTCTCTGTGCAAGGCCAGCTGGGGGTCCTCCCAGAACAAGGTCTGCACATGAAGCCAGGAGCCACTGGCAAGCCTCACAATCCACTCATGCTCCCTGGCATCTAGGGGGACAAGGGGTGACCTGTGCTCAGAAGGCCTGTGGGGTGCCAAGTCTGCAGATCCATCCCTTCCAGGGACCCATGAGGAGTGTGGCCGACCTGCCACAGCGTTAGCATCTGCCAGTTTCTGCATCAAAACAACATCTGCCCTTGGGCTGGGCAGGGCTCCTGCCTTGGAAGGTTTCCTGGACCGAGGTGGGCGCCGGCTCCTCTTCAGCAAGTCCTCATCAGGATGCTCCTCATCTGAGGAAGAGGAGGATTTGTTTCTCTGTGTTCGAGAGTTCCTCCTGAAAGACCTCCGGAACTTGGGGGTTGGCCAGGGCGAATGCTCCTGGGGGTGGTCTCCGAGGCTTTTAGCCACCGTTGGGACCTTCCGAGAACCGGATGCATTCTGTCTATTGGAGAGCCCCTTCCGGATGAGGTAGGGGCTACCTTGGTTCGGTGACACAGATAGGACCTCTACTGGATCCCTGAGCTCTCCCCAAGAGGAAGTTCTCAGGAAGGGTTGCAGGCCCTCTTCGGGGGTCCCGGGAGACTCTTTGGGTCCACTGCTGCTACTCTCCTCACTGCCGTGGCTTTCTTGATCCACAAAGTCATCCAGATCCTGGAGGGACAGCTGACAGCGAATGCTTCGAAAGACAGTGGGTGGAGGGTTCCCGGGCCAGGATTCTGAGGGCTCGTCAGGAACCACAGGAAGGAGAGAATGGAAGGGCAGAGCGGGCTCCGGCAGCTCCGAGACCCTGAAGGCGGTTTCTGAGGGTAACTGGAGGAAGTTGTCCGGCAACACCGACCAGGCGCGAGTGGGCCCCTGGTTCCCGGCCTCAGGCACCTGTAGGTGTCTGGCTAACCACTCTCGAGTGCGCTGCTGCTGCTGCTGCTGCTGCTGCTGCAGCTGCTGGGTTGAATGGTTCGGGGAGCGGGCGGTGTACAGCTCCAGCGGCTCTCGGGAGGGAGCCGGGAGGGGCGTGAGGGCGGGAGGGGACGTGGGGCTACCGGCAGCCCCGACGGCGGCCTGAGGCCAGACAGGCGTTGCAGACGCCGGCGCGCGCTCAGCCGACGCTCCTTCCCGCAGTCGCCCCGGAGCCCCGAGGTCACCCCGGGCAAGCTCGGCGCGCTCCGGCTTGCCGCGGGCGGCGGCAGGCTCTCCGAGCTCTCCGGGCAGCGGCTGTCCGGCGGGCTCCCCCCAGCCGTTCTGCTCGCATTCCCAGCAGCAGCGGCCCCGCGCCTCCAGCGCCGCACACCTGCCTCTGGTCTGGACAGCCGCTGGCCTCGGCGTCCCCTGGCTCGGGCTGCCCCTCGGGCTGCGGGCTGCCCCGGCCCCGGCCGCCTTCCGCGCGCTGGTGCCCGCTAGCTCCTGGCCACCTGCATCCACCCGGGTCGCGGCACCTGCCGGCGGCGCCTGCGGCTCCGGCTCACGCCGGTGACGGCGGCCCCGTGGCGGTCCCTCTGCCGGGGCGGGTCGCTGCAGTCCCTCCTCCCCCAGCAGGTCCCGGTACCTCCTCTTGAGCACCACGTACTTGGTGCCGTCGGGGTCCTGGCGCACTGCGGCCACCGAGTTCACGAAGCCCTTGAAGAGCTCGCGGCGTTCCTGCAGCTGGCCGGGAGGCGCGCGAGGGTCCCGCAGGAAGCTCTTGAAGTGGCCCAGCAGCTCTGCGTTACGCACGCGGCCCCCGGCCTGGCACAGAAAGTCCAGCAGTGCCTCTTGGCTCAGCTCTCCGGCCATCCCTGTCGGATCCCTTGGTGCCCGGGGCGGCTGCGTCTCAGGCTTCTGGAGGACTTCCCCTCCGACAGAAACCCGGGCCTGGCGAGTGTCACCTGCGCCCGGGGCGGTGCCACCCGCTTCCATCAGCCGCGGAGGCCGGCGCCACCCGCATCCCCGGAGAGCTACGGGAGGGCCGAGGGTCCCCAGGGGCGGGTGCCCGGGCTGAGTCCCCCCCGCGCGCCGCCCCGGTGGCCGAGAGGCGGCTCCCGGGCCGCCCCCCTGTGCGACGCTGGCCTGTCGTAGCCAGTCCCCGCAGCGAAAGTTCCCGGGATAGGTCGGAGCCGGTTTCACCTGCGCGCTGGCAACGCCTCCTCCCGGGCTCTGGGGGAAGGGCTCAGCCCGCCCTCTGTGCCTCCGCCCTCTGAGGTGTCCCCCAGCCCCCGCCACCCGTCCCAGGTGAGTCAGGCTGGTCGCAGCCGGGGACAACGCGGGAGAGGTGAGACCGGGGTCGAACCGAGCCGGAGGGGGAACGGCTCTGCGGGACGCAGAGTAGGTAGGCCACCGGTTCACCGGTTTTCCCTCCCAGTGGCCGCTAGGAAGGAAAGAAAAGCACAGGGAGGTCGGCTCCCTCTCTCTCTCTCTCTCCCCCTCCTCCCCGACGCACAAGTTTATAACCAAAGCCCACTTGGGTTAGCATAGCGTGTACAGAAGACGTGCTCTCCGCTGTTTCTCTTTATTAACGCGGTCTGGGAAGGGGCTTGGGGTTCCCAGTGGCAGGGTTGGACCCCCCCAAAAACAACAACAACAACAACAACAACAAACAACCGACCGCGATCCAAACCAAATCTCTTTTGGTTTGGAGATGCCTAGATACTTGAGAAGGCCGCTCCCAGGGCACCAATTTTCGAGGAGTTCAAACACACCTGCCTAAATCTGTGCTGAGAGCGAAATCACTCTGCAAGCTACAGGCTAAGGTTGTTTTCTGCCTTTCTTTTTCCTACACTGTTGTCTTACATTACAGGGCAGGGAGGGTTGGGCGGGGGGGGGGGGGAGGGGGGGAGGGAATTCACTGCCAGGGAGTTTCTTGCCTAGGAAGCCCAAATCCATCTCTCCCCAGCTAAGGTATTCGATATCCAGGACTGCTTTGTTTATATTTAGTCTAAGATTTGAGAACAGAAGGGATTCGTCCCATCTGTTTCACGTTGACTTCTTTGCCTGCAGAATGGAAGTTTTCCTCCACACAGCTAAAATGCTGACCACGTGACAAGGCTTTGCTTCCACCCCAGGGTTGCCGGTTTGTTCGAAGGAGGGTGCTAGACGCTCTTGGTCTATTTTGGAGGGCTGTTGAGTCCACCCTGATTCAGACTCTTCCTAGAGCGGAACTAAGTATTTATTTAGCCTTTTTGGAGGAGGGAAGGGTTAACGCATAGCACAGTTTATTTGTAACAGCTGCTACCGTCCTCCATTTCTGTCTGGTCGGGGTGCCACCTTATCTTGAGTCTTGCTGTGCTTTATCAACAGCATCTATTATCTATTGTTGGCTCGAGCCCCTTTCCCCCTTTCTTCTTCTTCTTCAGCACAGCCTTGTTGCAGCCGGTCCTTCTCACCTTTTCCTAACTGCCAGCATAAATGCCTGTGTCTCAGCACCCTCTCACGAACGACTGCCTACTGCCACATTTCTAGCGATGAATTTGCTGTTTTCTCCCCCCCTGGCATTTGACATCCTTTCTCCTGTTCTCGTCTCTTACTTTGCTTTGATTTGCAGTTGCAGACTTTTCACTTAAATGTCTCAAGTATGTTGATCCTCGTGTTTTCGTAGGGATACCCTGCATCCCCACCCCAGCCCTGGGGATCGAACCTGGGACCTCACTTGTGCTAGGCAATCCCTCTGTTACTACCTACCACAGACCAATCTGAGTGGCTATCAGGCCACATCGGCAACGCTTTATTTAAAATCCCGACAGAAGTCTGGTACTTTTCCATGAGTGACTTGGAATCCTTGACTTTAAATTATCTAGGTCAGAAAGAAGGGCCGTTTGTCTATTTGGGGCAGTTTCTAGAATTGAAATCTAGTAGTGGGTTGACATGGAGAAACTGTTCCCACTCCATATAACTTTGAGGCCTTAAAGTAGTTATTAATTTTTTCTTTAAATTAAACCTCAGCTCTCTCTTGTATTTACTGGTGCTGAGGCTCTGTGGGATTCACAGGCGCAGGAGGGGTCCAAATTGGACACCTCAGGAGTGCAAGTGAGGAGAATCCCTCTTTGGTGCCTTGCACAGATATATATGTTAAGTTGCACAAGTGGCCAAGAGGTAGAATGGAGCCATGACTTGCAGCACTTTAAGACAAGAGAGAAAGGGGAAGGGCAGATGCCAAAAGTTTTGACATCATTCACCTTCAGTTTGCAGGTTGAATTACTAGGTCTGTAATTGTTTTGGTTACTCAGTGGTTTAGTGTGTCCTCTTGCTGGTCTTATGATAAGGGGATGGTTAGGTGGAAAGTTCTACATCTTATGTAAGAGACACCTTCTTGCTTACCTCATATTTAGTTCATTATTTCCAAAGGTTTTTTGTTTTGTTTTTGCTACATTGCTGGGCATTGCTGGAAATGGATATATATATAAAGAAAAATGTGTGTTAGAGAACTCTGTCTTGGTAGCAGATGACATGAGTTTGCATGCTACCTGATTGAGGAGCCATGCATTCCGAAAGCTGGGGTCTCAGGGGCACATGAAGGAAGAGCTCAGAGTGTGGACAAGTGGCCGCTTTGCCTTAAAAAGCAGAAAGTGAAACCTCTAAGGCAGAAGACACTTCCGTGCAGAGGGTTCTGGCTCTGGCTCTGCTTGAGTATTTTGGGGAACTATCTGCAAATACAGCTGCTTAGCTTTAATGGAGAGGGGTATATCTGTGTAGAGGGTTGGGGGGGCAGAGGAAGGAGGTCTAGGGAGGGGGACTAGAGAGCCCCTTTTCCCAAGGCAGAGCCTTTTAAGAATTTTCCAGAGTTGCAACCAGATCATATTTGTACTTTAGGAAAATATGGAGGTAAATGCTGATTTTGAATTATGTGTAAGAAGAATATGTATCAGAATGAGAAAAAAGAAAAAAAAAAAGAACATGACTCACAGCAGTGCTGTATCTAACCAAATCTAAGACTGCATTTCTACCTCAGAGGTGTTAAACTACCTCAGAGGTGTTAAAATGTAAAAAGAAGCACCTCTTAAAATACATGAATTGCAAAATAAGAAAGAAAGGAAGGAAGGAAGGAAGGAAGGAAGGAAGAAAGGAAGGAAGACTGAGAGTGGTGATGCATGCCTTTAATCCCTGCACTCGGAAGGGAGAGGCAGATGGATCTCTGTGAATTAACTCCAGGCCAGCCTGGAATATTAGTAGAATTCCAGACATGCCAGGGCTACATAGTGAGACCCTATTATGAAGAAGGAGGAGGAGGAGAAAGAGGAATTGCAGGCTAGTATAGATATGTATATAAATATGTGTGTGTGTGTGTGTGTGTGTATATATGTATATATATGTATATAAATAGCTGTGTATCTGGGGTTCAGATGTGAGGGGTGCCTGAATGCAGGGCAGCTTTAGTGAAAAGACACTTAAGAACAAGGTAGCAAGGCTGTATATGGTGATGTCACCTCTTTAATCCGGGGGTCAGGAGCAGGAGAATTGTGAGTTGAGACCATCCTGGGCTAAAGAGTGAGACCGCAACTCCAAAGGAAAAAAGACGCTGAGAAACTGGAAATGTGAAGCTTCAATGGGAGGAAGAGCATAGACACTGCTGAGATGACCCAGGAAAGAGGTTTAGAAAAAGGTTTGAGTTCAGCAGAAGCCGAGAAAGGAAGATGAACAGATGGATTCAAGAGCTTGTTTAGAAGGTGAATTCAATAGGTTCTGGCACCAGACTCAACCAGGGGATGAGGAACAATCTTGGCAGGCTCCTGAGTAGCTGAGAGAAGGTTGGCATCATTGCTCCGCTTGGAGGGAAAACAGAGAATAGGTAGTTTGTGGAAATACATAAAGATGGTAAATTCAACTTGGGGCATATTAAATTTGAAGGGCCATAAAAATAGAAAAATCTAGAAGGTAATTGGGAATATAAAATTGGGTCACTAGAGACATGGCATTCACATCTACCAATGGTCATTTTAGCCACGGGAGAGGAAATTGCTTTAAAAAACAATATACAGGTAGGAAGGCAGGTGTGAGAGGCCAAAATAGCAATACCCAGAAAAAGGAAAAGCCTCCTGTGGGTACTTGGAAGGGACCCCAAGAGCAACACCTGTGTTTCAGAAGAGCAGGATCAGGAGGAACAGCTCTCTAGAGACACTGCCAAGGCTGATAAGAAAGGTAACAGGACCAGAGCTGGCAGGTCACTGGGGCTGATCTGGAACACTGTCAGAACAGTGGCAGGGACTGTGGCCAGGTCATGCAGAAACCTGAGGTGTGGGTGGAGGAGAGAGTGTGGGTAGAGGACTCACCCAGTCGCCCCTGGACAGAGGGAAAGACAGAAGATTTACACGTAGAGAACATCAAATCATGGAACCTAGGTTTGCTTCTTTTAGGACAGGATATGATCTTGGGTATGCGCTGAGGGAAGCAAGCCAGGGAAGGCTAAGTGAAGATCCAGAGCAGACTCAATAATTGATGCAGTAGGAAGTGGGGGTGGCCCTGGAGCCCAAAGTTCAGGGAGAGGGGAGAACATCCTCATTAGGAACAGAGAGAAGACAAGGGATGTAGCCCAATGGTAAAGTCCTTGCCTGGCATGTGTAGAGCCTTTGGTTCTATCCCCAGCACTAGAGAAAAAGAAAAGTGAAACAGAAGGAAAGTGGGTATTGCATTTCGGGGCTGGAAATGTCGCTTAGTTAGTAGAGTGCTTACATAGCATGCACAGGAGGGTTGATACGCAGGACTATGCAATCCAGGCATAGATTTGGCACAGCACATGCCTGTCACCCCAGCACTGTGAAAGTGGAGACAGGAGGATCAGAAATTCAGTTCTCCTTGGCTATATTACTGAGAGAGATGGAGAGAGAGAGAAATGAGAAGGGGATCCTTGCATTTATGTCTCTTCTCCTGTCCTATCCCCAGCCTTTGTTTATATGTCAAATATTTATTGAGGGCCTAGCAGTTGTATGTATTGGGAAGCTAGAGTATAGTGGTGAGTCAAATGGGAAGAGTCTTTATACTCAGGAAACTTAGACTTAGTAGGAAAGAGAGTTG